AACTCACATTGTGCACCAACAGCTGATACGGCCCGTCGGCCAGAAGAACAGGAATCGCGGTACTCGGTTGGAGACGCCGGAATGCCACACCAAGAAGTTTATCTCTTGATTCTGGAAACAGAATTGAGAGGAGATATTGGCGCCATAAGCAGAGTGAAAAACACTCATTGGGATTTGCAACTGAATGATGGATAGGAAACTTGGTAAAAATGCAAAGCATGCATCGCCTAGCGACATACATATAGGAACGTGAACCAATGATTATGATTTTGTGGTACAACAGCCCCCCCTAGTAAGTAACCCCTAACGTCAAACACGCCACATGGAGTACGTCACTTTAGTAAACTAAAAAGATCCCAGTGTAATTCGCTAAGGAAGCGGAAACCTCGCAGAAGGCGAAAAGTGTCTGGTTTGAAGTAATATGAGAAGTTTTCTAGTAAATCCAAGATTGCAAGTGCTTACGAAAAAATGAGGTAACGTTGTGGGAGAACTTCTGAGCGGATCTGTGCACACTGATATACAATAATAGACTGGCAATGCCCACTGCGGCTGTTTTGCTAACGTCACAACCAATACCTGCTTAATTTGACAGATAAAAAGCTCGGGAAGGAGCTGAATCAGCCCCTAGTACGGTAGTTAGCCGAATAGATGGCAGTGTCCTTTTAGTTTATAGGGTGGATGGAAATCTTACGGCCTGGAATCTGTAACGTTAGTGCGAGGATGATTACTCGCCAGGACATCGCTCGACTGGGTGTATGTACTAAGCATGATTGTTGCTTCCATTGGTGGAGAATCCAAACCTCACTCAGTACTTGCACAATCGGTGTTTAGATAGGGAGGTCTTCAGACCAAAGATCAGCTGTATATATTGGCTGAGTGTGACCCTGTAGGTTTATTCCCGTTGGTAGAAGTTTCATGGGTGTCCCCCCGTCGTAGCACAATCGCATTAGCAGTGAGACATCCATGCCTTGATTCCTGTACTCTCGGGATAGGCCAAGTGGATCAAACGATCAACATAATAACTTCAGGCGGAGTCCAGCGCACATGAAACGCTACCACCAGACGAATTGCGGACCAGACTGAGTAAAAAATTCACGATGGGGTGCTCAAACAAACTCCCTACCTCGGTCTCGAAAACCGGGAAGTATCATGCAACTTTGCAGCTCATCGTATAACGGCCCTCATCCACATCTGCCAGCTAGTTAGCTAATCCACGACAGTTAATTAACTTGTCAGTTTTGTGTCCAAACTCCCATCCTGTAAAACAACCAAGAACTACCCGTTAGAAAACACAAAAGATTTGGTCCATGTTGCGTTTCAGTATCCGTAACCTGTCTCAGAGGGGCACCTCTTGCCTACCCTTTTTGTTGATGTGTATCAAGTGAGCGAAATATACGTACACATATTCTGTTGGAATAGACTGCAATAAACGGCCGTCTCTATGGTTATCCGGTTCAGTTAAGTTCATTACAGGTTCATACGATACACCGTGTTTATTCTTCGTACCAGCATATGTCTCCAACAGACTGCAGTTTTGAAGATGAGAAAGATGGGCATAACCGAACAGCACATCACTTGGACGGATGTCACGTACAGGACATGGGCCAAACGAAGACATGCCCTGATTAATCAGAAGGCCAGCTAATCCGAGTCAAGCACCTGTGACTCGACGCTTCTCGCCCCCTCACGGAGATTCTGGCACGACCTTGTGGAACACTCTCTGACTACCCTATAAATACAGTTGTAATAATTTTCCTTCGTCTCCATAAAGGGCTGTGTAGAGCTACCGCGCCTTTTGATATACCATGGTGGGCGGAGCAGGAAGCCAAGGGACCGATTCAGAGTTGCACGACCGTACATCAAGGTACAACATCACCCGAAGAAAGTATAAGGGCTGAGGTTGTCAAGCCTACACAGTAAAAGCCTAGATGTAGAGATCAGCTTCGGGCCACGGACCCTTCGGTCAGTAATTTCGCGCTTTAACCACTGAGCTATCTCAAGTATGTGGCCGACAGCTACCGATGAAGTGTCGATTGAAGACAGCTGTTCCTTCTGTGGGTGTACAACTAGACTCCAATCAAGCCAGTATTGGGCTCAGTTTTCACTTCGTGTTTCATCAAGATTTCGCACATGAGGCATTGCCACTCAGTTCACTAACTTCAGTGGATTCTATTGGCACAACACTATCGAACAGATACAGCTAGAAGGCTACTGGAAACGCTCATGATGAAAATTGTTGGAGGCTGTATGGAAGAGTGAAGGAATCTGTGCTTTCAGCTATTGGGATGTCTGTCCAAGTAGTAAGAATCTACGGAATGAACATTTCGTCAAGATTAACAGACCGTACTGATTCCGGAAAACCATAACAGCAACTAGAGACAGCAGTGGAGCACGCAGATGCCACAAACATCGAAAACTCAAGACCATGAAAAATGGCAAACGACACTGGTGGATTGCAAATGCCCGGGGCGCTGGAAGAGTTCTTCATTGCAGACAAAAGCATAAGTCTATTTCAGCTGACCCGATCAACTTGCCGAGAGAAGATAGGTGTCAGCGACACGGTTTGCTTAAAACATGGAAAAAAAAGTCATTCGCGGGACCGTCGTCTTGAGCGATCAGCTGAACACTTTGGGAAATAGTTCAGCCGGCCACCACCAACACAGTCTCTGGAAGAACTCAACGGACTCCAGTGAGACATCAACGACCTGCACCACAAACAGAAATCCAGCGTGAGATAGCACTACTCCAACGCGACAAGGTCCCCTTACACTGCTCAAAGGCTGCGATACAAGCTCTGGTTGACAGTGGGATGGAGCACTTCGACCGCACAAGAATGTCATGGGCGAGCTATTCAGGCTTCATAGGTAGCTCTAGTTGAGACATTTACTTCACATGCCAAAGAAGCGCTCACCTCATACAGTTCTTTCTGCGCAAACCCGTGTTGAGTGAAAGGCACTGAGAAGTGGATAGTTTTTGACTAGATAACAAAGCATGAAAGGACCAGTGAAGCGACACTGCCATTTCCCAGGATGAGAACCCCCATCAATGATTACTGACACTGGCAGACGTGGCTCCATCACGCAGTCAATGGCACAATTGATATCGCCTTAAATGCGTCCGGTCTCCTCAGACAACTAGAATGATTTGTTATAAAATGATTGTGCGGCAGCGAAACATCATTGTTGAACATTGATACCATGCTGTCGATGATGATGATTGAGGTATTGCCTTTCATGCCTAGCTGTATATCCCGTGTTCTATTTTTTCAGGCGTGCGAAAATGTAGCTGGAACTACGGCACTCTTCGTACATGAGAGCCCATGAACTGAACTGCTGTTTAATACTTCGAGAACACGATTCAAGTGGGATTTTCTGGGTCCTACCTAACATGAAATGTTCCCAGCAAGCTCCAAACCAGGCGATCCTAAAGTACATGGACTGTTGTGCACTCTAATACAAAGTTGTGAATGGGCGGATTGAACGAATTTTGTATCCAAATTGGCAATATGGAAAACCCGCTACCTGAGTTTTATCCTACAAAAGAACATAAATGGCTTACTGAATGGAACGGCCTTCTGTCCAGCCCAGAAGCAGCCAAACCTCTTGTACTTTCAGCGTAACTGTGTCCTGAAGTGGTTGCGAAGACAGAAATTTTTTCGATCCGACATTAGTGAACTAGGTGAAGAATAGAGACTTCACCGGTAACAGTCGGGAGCCATGCCAGTGGAGTGTGGTAGGGAATTCAAAATCCTACTCAACATAGCCGACAAAAGACGAGCCCCGGATGGATGAGCTCAGAACCAGCGCTCGAGTTTCGATTAGCGGTAAGGACAACGTCTAGGCATGAAGAGGATCTTAAGAATGCAAGTATTCATGACCGGCGGCCAAAAATATCATTGATTACTTCGTGCAAAACTAATTGGAAGGAAGCATGGTAAGTCTAACAGGATGCGAACATTTAGCGTGGTAAGCCAAGACAAAGTCAACAACCTGTGTTGGCTGACTTGTGGCGACAGACGAAGCGTAAATGATCCCATGTCAATGCTCCCGGTACTGTTTGCTCCGTTGCCTGTCGGTCCGGAGGTGTAGACTTATGCGTGCGAATGGTTTGGGAACTGCATCTCCGCGAAGATGCAGGTAAAGGTATCACGAAGAGCTCCGACCAACGGGGACGATTTCTGTGATAGTAGACAGTTGACTTATACAGCTGAGCGGAGTTTCTATTCCAGTACCGATCATCCGACGACTGCAAGTGGACATAAAAAAGTTGAATGTCAACGCAACTACAAAGCTGAACTGTTTAACAGACAAGAACACACACAAAACCCAGCGGTTAAAAACTGGAGAACTACACTGACACTTATTAGAATGAGTTTGGAGGCTTACCAGATTTCCCGAGCTGTCTCGAAGGCTAATTTCGACCTCAATGTTTTTCTCCTGCTGTTTGGCTCCCTTGGGAAATTCCCCTGACACCAAAGTGATGTACACCTCTTGGCGAGCTATATCACGGATTGCTGGAGAACAATTAGACATTGCGTAGCGACGACCACAGCGAATTGGACCATCTGTCGCGTTGCGGCTAATTGTCTGAAAAAGATAAAACCCGGAAAATAAATCGTCCATTGGACGAACGTTTTCGAATGCTTTGTTATAATCATATTGTTGTTGAATAAGATGAACTTCACAACCGAAATAACGAAGCATTACAAATGCACCAATAGTCTAATAAGAACCAGAGTGAACGACAGTTTAAATCATCTTTATCCCCCTCCTCACTATCACCAAGGGATTTGAAACGTTGAGCATTCCTTATACCTCAAATGAGGTTAGTTAGTCATAAAACCAGCTTCAAAATTGTTGGAAAAAAATCCGAGTAAACCAATTCATCTCAGATCGGCCAGGTGTTCGGTCGGTCACTTACTACGTGTTGCAGCGCATCGAGCTAAATACAGAGAAAGCCACATGGACCAAACTAGGGGAGGCTGACCGAATCCGACAGAACTGGAAATATGGAAACATAAATTGGTTCTAAGATTGGTGTGCGCTAGCCAGTAACACTGCAGTCGTAATTCTCTGCGGGAATTTCCAATCCTCACACAGCTCAAAATTTGGCACAACTTCAAGATTAGCTAATATACACTCATTTGCAAACCAATTTGGTTTTTCGAGAGACTCACCTGGAACCCAGCTGAATCTCTCGTTTGTGATGTTCTCAGGCAGAAGACTGCGATTACCTGATGAGCCCCAAAAAGGGTGAAATCGGTCGTGGGCTGTCGACGGATTCTCAGCAACCTTATGAGTAATACATTACAAACTTCAAGATTTCTTAATAATGTGACAGCACCGTTTTATCGCGACCGATCAAACATGTCCAGAGTGGGCAGAGAGCATGATCTACCCAGCTTGAAAAGTATTCGGTTGGTCCCATGCATTATCTCTTACCGTTAGAATCCAACTAGATTTACTGTTGCATCTCGCTTAAATTTTTAGACGACTGTCCATTTAGGTCTATCACATGGGATGCGCTCTGGAGGTAAAGACTTCGATAAATTAGTCTTGAAACCAACTGAAGATGACAAGCGATGAAATCACGAATGCGACAGAAGTCCTAGTTTAACCTAGACGGGCATTCGCCAGTCCCAATCCGTCGTTCTTCAGACTCAAGTTGCAGTCGACCACATATTCAGCATCTTCACCAAAATAAACAAGGAAACCTATCAAACGTATTGGAAGGGAACACGCACAAATTTGGTCACACCGAGACATACAAACGGCAACAAAAACAACTCACTTGATATTGTAATGGATTCACCAATTCAACTGACTTCAGCTCGAAATCATTAATGGGAGCATCACCCAAGAGTTGAGAGCCGAGACTAGTACTACTGTTCGAGGTACTTGCAGTCTGGACCGTACTTGGTTCACGGCTAGCAGTCCAGTAGGCAACTGGAGTTTGATTGGCCAACTGAGACAGGCATTCTGATTGGAACTGTTCACCAGTTCTAAGAAAAGGTGAAAAGTTCGAAGAAAAGAGTTGCATTAGAACCAAAACCCATGTATTAGTCCGGTCACATATGGGGACGGGAGTTGAGATCGCTCAGTTCAATGTCACAACCAGACAAGGTGATGAAAACCATTTAGGCCTTTAGCAGCATTTACATAGGTTTCAGTAATAGCTGCGTCCAGCAACTATTTTACGCCAGTGTTTTACAAAAAAATAAGGTCGGGAAGACAGGTTACGCGTCTAATAAATCACTAACAACTGTGCTGCACCGCAGTTTGAACAAAGGACTCAGCTCATTCACAGACTTCGGAGTTTCGAAGTCCAGCATATCCAGCAGAAAAAAACACGACGGAGGTACCTGGATCATGCAAAAGCAAGTCGCAATCACTTTAATACCGGTATTTCCTCAGCTTAGTGTTTGGTTCGAACTTCGAAGCCAGCTCTGACTGACCGAAATTCCGGGCCCAACAGCTGATCATGATCCAGTGCTCGTCGAATGCCGGTTGCCTAAGACACATCCAGAAAGCGCCAGAATGTTGTCACTGCATACCCTTTATAAATGACGCGTCGTACATGTGTTTTTGGATCTGATTTTGGGCGTGTTGTGCACCTGTGGTGGTTGTTTTAACAGGTGCGCAAGCTTTGGAGGTTCGGACCGAGAACTAGGTCTAAAAAATACCATCATTACAATTGGCAGACGGGAACTCACGATGTCTATCAAACTCAGTCAGCCCTGAGAATTATTGCGGGAGCAACAAAAGCTGTTTGAAGCAGCACAGCCGAGGCTTATTGAATCGCTGACTCAGAAACACCAATAGTCAGCACCAGTGAGTCTTGTCTCTTCAGCTGATACGGCGGCCGCCTCAGTCACGAAGTTCATATTCCACCCTCTTTCTGGTCACACTGCTGGTTCAAGCAGTACGAAGACATGTTCAACAATGATTTTTCCAAGTTCAAGACGGATAGAAAATCAGATTATTGCTGCGAAAACTCGGCACACCAAGGCACAAACGGCACGCAAATTTCATTCTCCCCAAGCTGCCCCGCGACCTCAGCTTTGATGGAACGATCATCACAACGTCCCACATATTTGGCTATCTAACATCATGTCCAATATCCGTTACAAATGCCTGAAGCTGGTAAAAAAAGATGATGATTTCATCAAGTTTTCCGGTGTTGTCAATCCGGAATGCGGGGGTTTCAAGGTCAGATCAATGACAGAGAACCAGTTCGAGTGCCTGCGGTGTCCAGTCGTCCCAAGATGCGGACAGCAGAACACCGCTGCTTCATTAAGTTGAAGAGGATGCTGAAATGACGTTGCAGAGCCTCACCATCGAACGTAAACAACTCATCAACCTAAAGCGCGACAAGGCTATGATCGGTCAAGCACCTGTTAATTCAAGCAGCTATGTGCGCACATTCAATTACAGCGTCCCAAAGAAATATGACGACAAACCCGGTCGAAAACAGAGAAAGCCTCCCATAAGTTGCTGACATTCTGCTCGTTGTCGCCGGTTTAGGAGTCATGAATTTTCCAGGTGCAATCGTCGTGGCTACAAAGATTTGTGTCCATCACAGAGGTGGCAGCCACCCGCACACCACCGTGCAGCTCACAAATCGCGGTCCAAATCGGTGACAGTGACATTGAAAGTTGATTGTGCTTGCCAAAAGAAGTTTGTGACGGGTCGTATCAACAACATCCCAGTTCGTCTACAGCTTGAGGCGGTATCCGATATCACGTTGCGCAGTGAACGAACGTGGAAGGAAATCTGTAAGCTGCACGTGAAACCGAGCGGACATTGAACCCGTAATGCTTCTGGTGGTAAACGAAATTGACTGACGAGGTTAACTGCCCCATAAGCTTCAGTGGCTCGACGGCACAAGCCACGTGCTACCTGACATCATGCCTCAAACTCGATCTCAGGGGGCTGGATTGAATCCGTAGGCGGAATCTTCTGGAAAATACGACTAATTGTATTTATAACCCAATTGACGAAGAGTTCACTTGAAGATCCCTTGAAATGCTATGTATCTACCTTCGCCGACGTGCTCAGACGGTGCAAAAAGGCGACAGCCAGACTGTACCTCCTCCCAAATGCCTAACCAGCCTTCACGCCGAGACGTCCAATATCGTATACAGCCTCGTCCGTCGCTGACCAGGAACTGGGCCGACTACAGAAGGCTGGTGTTCCCCAACCAACCAACTACTTCGCATGGGCCTCACAGATCGAGTTGGTGAAGGAGGCTGACGGGGCTAGCCGGCTGTGTGCAGCCTTCTCGACCGGTCTCATTGCTTCACTGGATACTCAACAGTAGACTATGCCTCGCCCAGATGACTTGTTCGCGAAGCTGAATGGGCGTAAATGTTTCGCGAAGATTGACTTGGCAGAGGCTTACCTCCAGGTGGAAGTTGAGGAAGAACCCTGAGAAATTTCGACCACCAGTGCGAACCACGGACTATTCCAGTATACCGAACACCGTTTGGTGTCAAGGTGGCGCAAACCATGTTTCAACAGATCATGGATATGATGCTGTGGGATGCCCCTAATATATAGATGTTATATAAATATATTATAGGCCCCTATAGGCCTTGGCACCTACTTGGACGATCTCATCATCATTGGCTCCAACCCGGACAGATTGTGGCAACGCCTTGATTATGTACTTGGTCGTACTGAATAGTAGGCTTAAGAGTCCGGCGAGAAAACTGTACCTTCTTCACGTGGCCGATAAAATACCTCGGGTTCATTACTGACCGGGCAGCTGACCAGACCCGGAGAATGTCGACACCATCGGAGGTACGAATCAACAGAGGTAAAATCCCTCAGGTCCTTCCTCGGTCTCGTTGGTCATTACAGCTCGTATCTGCCCACCTAACAATTATGGACAAATGTAACCGCAACTTTCAATGGATATGGACATGCTAGTGCGACGTGCTGCGAAGTGAAGACTGGAATATGCTTGATTTTTGATTGCATATTGTCCGCTAGGCTTGGTTCATTTTGACACCAGACCAAATCTTAATTCTAATTTACCATCGGGATTGACCGCTCTGACGAGAGTTATGGGTCTGTTGGTTACGGCCGCGTAAGCGGTTTAGCAGTTGATTTCGTTTGGTGAAGACAAGAGAGTCTTACAAGAGGTCACCTGCCAAAATTATCCATTTGGTTCCACATCGTTTTGTTAAACGTAACTTTTCATAAATCCCCTGAATGGACTAAATCACCTTCGAGGTTCGGTAGATACGTAGGAAAATTCGTCAGGTTTTCGATTAAACGTACTTATAATAACTGCAGTTCAGAATTTATGTTTGGGTGGACAAGTAAGAATATGACATAGTTCAAAGTGAATAGAAATCGAACTTCTCAACCGCAAGCAGGTTATTCCAGAATGGAAGTCTCTTATACAGAGAGGGTAGTAGAACCTAAATAGAATAGGTTACTCATCATACCTGTCCACTTGTTTGCTCGAATGAACCTGAACAGGTGAGTAAAGATGGTTGAAGCCACCAATGGTAAATACTGCGTCAAATAAGAGCAAACAAAACTAAGAACTGTGGGCACATGGAGGCTGAGGGGAACTCACACAGTTATGGTAATGTTTCGACATGGTTTAATCACGCGGGTCAATGAGGTGACATCCATGAACCAGCTAGAGCTTCGCTTCGAATCCGATACCAGAGCACGGGTGATGTCAACACAAGCTACTCCGTACGGTCGGCGCAAAGAAGACTGAACCAACTGTTGGGGAGCAGTAACTGAGCTTTTCTTCCCTGACTTTGAGCGTTTCGACTGACTGAAGCCTAAGCGGTTCACCATTACCATGAGTAGAATCCGTTCTTCGGATGGTTGGACTGGGTTGAGATCCTGTGAAGAGAATTAATTTGTCAGGAGACAAAAATGAGAACACGGCGAACCTTGGCGTCAGAAGAGTAGAACGATAGGTGGTGTATATGAAACGTGACTTGTGGTTCTATGGACGGCTGGGTTAAGCCCTTGGCGGTACACTCTTCATCATTTTCCGGCAAATACCTCGTGTAAGCACCTTTTGTTTCATCGGTATACTTTGCGGGAGGCGCTAGGCACAAGCTCAGGCCTTGAAAATCAAGCGTCAAGGAAAGTGGAGATTAACATCCCTGGTAGACAGACATTCAGTAAACGTTAACCACGGTTCGGTCCCATAAACATTCCAACAGCTAGAATGAAATCCTAGGAAGCGCATATGATTCAAATAGTAATGCTGTCATTTATGACGTTTTTGTTTTCCAGTCCTGTCTAGAAATACACAACTCCCTTAAGTTTAACCACAGGACTAAGAGCCCGTTTATATGCTAGAATGGCACAACGGTCCCAAATATGTATTATTTCACAAAAATGATGAGGGTGAATTTTCGAAAAGCGGCTTTTGTCGAAACAATCAAAGTCGATCAGTTTAGCTGATTCGTACTGATGACCGGCTGACAGCCGTTAGGGGACTTCCTCAGCCCAATACAAACCAATTCGCTCATCTCAGATATTTATTCTCGCGACGGCCCAACCACTGTCAAGTCTGTTCTGGCACCTCCTACAACAGTGAAGCTTATTCTTCCGTAATCAGCACAACATGGACAAATATATTGGCTCTCGACCTTATTTCCTATGTTAGTGAACGCCCAATCACCGGCATGGCGCGAAGCCACACACGGTTGTTCGAGCTACCCCGGCATTTCAGGTATGTTAGCACCACCTCATTCTACGTTATGCAATGATTTCAAGATTGCTGGCTTATGGCTCCATTTGTATCGTTCAGCTGTAACACCCTTCCGGTGCCTAGCTGCCATGCCACCCGAAGGTTTCACGAGGGCTGATTACTGCCAGGTTGCCCAAGCCTAGACAGACAGAGCCGAGAGACAGAAGTCGGGTTCGAGCCATGGACTTTCCGGTCAGTAAATTCACGCTCTAACGACTTGGGCCATCTCGTGCAATGATATCCATACACTTGAAAGCGCTGTCAATTTCATTGAAACAGGGATCCACCATGGGAAGATGCCAATCAGTCAGCAAGTATCTGGGAGTCCGACGGAGCTGTTCGTTTTGTGAACACTGTTCAACCCAGTCAAAACTAACGAAGCACTGGAAACCTGTTTTTTCCTTACTGGGAGGCGCTCACCAGCACCGCATGCGCCTGAGTTCGAACCGAAGAACAACAGGTTCTTTGTTACTGCAAATTTAAGCACACAATCTATTAAACTACCATGGCACAGTGGGGTGAAAATAAAGATCATAGAAAATTCTGGGAAATTGAAAATTCGGTGAGCCGGAAGATGGTTCTCAGTGTATCGTGGAATTCGGTGCGTGGTTGAAAAGCGTAGCGATGGGACGTGTGGTGCCCCATGGATTCCTCGTGAATGAAAGTAGAGGAGAGATCCGAATATGTGCCAGAAAGAGTTGTTCGATTGAAATTGGGTAGCCCTCGTGCCACTGTAAACTTGATAAGTAGGTATCGATTTTGTCAGACCGGACAGTATGTAAGAAGGGATGATCAAAGTCCAGGGAAGCAAAAACAAAACAATCAGTCATGATGAAGCAGTAACGATTGTGGGATACACACACAAACAAACAAAGCAGAACCAACAGCGGTGAACAGAATGGAACTTGAAATCGAGCTTTTGCCGGATAGGTGCCCCATCAGCTGATGTAGCGTACTCAGCTACATGAATTCACACGTCTTTTAACGTGCACGTAGAAAAATAATTGAGATGGCTCGGGAGAAACCGATGTCGCGAATGGGTTTGCATCACATGAGGTTGAAGAAGATTTGCTCAGCAGCTCCACGTCAATGAGTCAGGTCCTCGAGAAGTCACCCTTGCAAAAGCCGATTGATATCAGATTACATGATGGGGAACGCACGACTAAGTGTCCGAGTGCAAATAAGTCACACTTCAGAACAGCCGAGTGAGTGTTCGAAATTCTATCTGAAGCGTGTAAGTTCAAAAAACCCTAGGGATTAATGAAGAATGCGTTGCTGATGACTCGCCAAACGGGTGAAATATAGAATTAAAACTCAGAGCCTTCTCACTACTCAGAGCGCGAATGGGTGATCTGCTCGCAGAGAAAAATATCTCACAAGTCGCATAAGCCTTCCGTGAAAAGTCATCAATCTAAAAGTCGGTCAGTAAAATAGAAGCGAGGTATCACAACGACCTGCTGTGAAGTAACCAGATCGACGAATGTCTTGTTAAGGTGATCTTGGCTAACCAGACGACACACTGTATGGTGTGTATTGAGCCTCCCTAGGGGGGGGGGTCAATATGTGCCTAAAAAAACTGATTACACAGCGACAACGACAAAATCATTCGATTCTACAGGCAGTTAGACAAAAATGAAGAAAGCGTAGTTGCAAACCAAGAGCAACATGTGGGCGCTCATACACATTGGACTACAAAAATTACGGATAAGGAGGCATTTGTAATAGCATTGCGGTAAAATGGGCCAAACCTAAACAGGGGAATTCGAGTGCCGAATGTCGGGTTTGAACCACGGACCTTCCAGTCGGAAAACTCGTGCTCTAACCACTTGGCGGACCTTCCGTCGGAAAACTCGTGCTCTAACCACTTGGGCTATCTCCTTGTGGCAGACTTCACGTTGTTGCCGTACATTGCTACGATGTCGCGGCAACGTTCGGTAGGACCGTAAGTAGTACTTTACACCTCTATCTATCGTGAATAGGCAGTGTGATTGAAACCACCGTCGATAGTAAATTGCTCCTAGGAATGGTTTTACAGTCCGAAGAAAATTCCATTTCCGCATTCTGCTACACACGCGTTTCTCCATCTCGTAAGTGAATAAAATTAGCATTCACAAACTCCTGATGGTTAACTCGCGCGTTTCAGTATTCACCTACCTAGTAACAACTTCCGGTGCACACGCATCTAAACGCTTATCGGTGACTAGCTAGAAATTACGTGATTTTTTAACGCAGGTTTTAAACATCAACCCTTGTAAACACCACTAAGACTAAAAGGAATATGTATTCGATAGACTTGATCGCCACACTCTGAGCGAAATTCGGCTAAATTCGTCCGAGTGATTAACACCCGTGTATGTAGCCTGCTTTTAGCACAGTCGTGTATAGTCTGTCTGGCCAATTATTAAAGGTCACTAGTAGATGCAAGTCAAGTGACTCACTCACGAAAGCACCGCAGTGAAACAGATTTGTTTGCTCCTGATGCACATAGAAGAATCACTAGTCAGAGTAGCACGGCACTGATTAGTGATATCACTCTGATTAAATGTTATAAGTTTACACTGATCTGTGGCGGCTGTTAACGCAAAAATATCATATGCGGTTTTCCGCCACGAAGGGCACCTCGAAGGATTAAGTTGTATAGCTACTTTGTCCATATGTTTGTGTCAAAAATACACAACTGAAATGGGCGTTTCCATTGAAACATAAACAGTTGCGCAGGTGGTCCACTGACACTGATGGTGAAGGAGCAGTTGTTGACCAGTAACAAACAACAAGAGTAACTTAAAGGGACTGGTGATAACGAATATGTACTGGATGCTGGTAGAAGAAGCAGAATATTGATTAAATAGGGCGATAAAGGGAAGATAAAACAATAGCCAACGCCGTAACACCATACCGTGAAAACCACCTCCTCAGCAACTCGATGATAACCGTTGAGGATCACATTATCGGTCAGTCGCTTGATACTTGGCAAAGGTTGATAAGTGGTCGTAGCGTTTGCGGCCGAGTCATGAGCTCCTCTGTCATATACAAATGGATCAAACGCGCTGGGGCTGAGAGCACCCACGGTCTCACCTCTGACACCCTCCTTTGTGATGGACTGACTTGCCAAATACATAACCAACTCCGCTTGCGGTAAGTGGTCGAATTGGAACAGAACGCTGAAAGGTTCCGATTTTAACTGTGGAGAGAAAAGCAGACGAAACAGACAGAAATGATTACAGGTACGCTACGGAGCGAGTGTTTTGGAAGAAGGAACTTCGAAAGACACGTGGAGGGAGAATAGTGATGAAGATGATGCTGTCAAAATCAGTAATTACACCGATAACCGTATGGGGCATCTGAGCCGAAGGTTGATTTACCCGTACACTTCAGGAAGTGAATGGTAAAGTTACCCCCTCTACGAATAGCGGCTTCCAAATTACTAGTTTAACCGAAAGGTAACGAATCTTTCGGGGGTAATGCTAGAGTTGAGCAATGTTTTGGTAAGTAAAGGTCAATTCAAAAGGGTAGAGTGGTTTAGTTTGCGAAGTTATACGATTAGGTCCGATCCGCAGTCCGAAAAGCTGCTCGCAACTAGACTAGATGATGATATTGTGGTTCTTGAAAGAGTTCTGCACACGTTTACACTCAGCAAGCGAAACCTCTAGGCGGCGAAAAAATAATGAGACTTACGTGCCAGGGGGCGTGCGGCAGAAAAGAAACTAGCGCAAAAAAGCTGTATGTTCATTATTTTCGATCACATATTGGTTATTGGTTGACCGTAAAAGACTATTTTCCGTGTGTGGAGTATACTTAATCAACCACAAATAGGACATCAAAAAACCGTTCAGAAACATCAAAAATGTGTTTGCTGTCCACTGGAAATTGACATACTGACAGAAGCCCAGATACTGTCACATGATCACTGACAACAGGATGAGTTTGTTGTCCACTGGAATTGACATACTGACAGAAGCCCAGACACTGTCACATGATCACTGACAACAGGATGAGACCGTACGACTGATGACTGGTAAAACACACCAGGCGGTACAAAGACAAGGCTTGGCTGTAGTGAATTAAACAACCTCATATCAATCACTTAGGGTAGCAGACAACAGTACTCGACCCACACCAACCTTTTAGTATCCAATCCTCTCTAGTTCAAATGTTGAAAACCCCAACTTGTGCATCCATCCTCTAATACGATCTTACCCTCAAGTAATGTGATGATTCCAGACCCATATAACAACGAGATGACCGTCCACACAGCCAGTATGACTTTGTTGCAGACAATTGTTGCTGCAGGTCGCTTGAACGAGGAAGTTGGGGTGTAATCACATCTACCTTAAGAAACCCAAGCTGTGCAGAGGTACTATCGCACCAAAGGGCAAAATGCTGTATCTCAGTGAGTCAGTACTGGACTACGGGGTCCAAGATCTGAGGAGACATGAAACGCTACGTCCAAGGATCAGCACTTCCAAGTTCTTGAACAATCTGCAGACATAGATTTCATTGCGAAGACAAAAAAAACAGAGATTAACTCAATGCACTACGAAAAGGCAGTCAGTGGGGCAGATCCCCAAAAGTCCATTCGGTCTTAGCCACATCTGCGCAAAAAGTACTGTGACGAAACAATACGACAAAGTTATCAGTATGAAGACCATTGTCACAAGATGCACATAAAAAATATTACGGAATAAATAAGAAATATAAACACATCTCACTTTCATATCCTTGATTTGCTTGGTCAGCGTGATGTACCGCTTGTGAAGGTCTACCAAAATTTCCGCGCGCGGATCAACTGGTTCAAATTTCTCATCTCGCACTAGTATCGGCAAATCCAATTCCCTAGATAAAGAGAAAAGGCAACAAACATAACCACAGGTTAGTCCCCGCCCTGTAACACAGCCAGAAAACAAAAGAAATTCATCATCAAGAACGGTTGTACCTTTGGCCAAGTGTCAACTGGGTCACGAGGTTCTGTAAATTCTCCTCGGCTTCACGCTGCACAAAATGGAGGACTGGTGAACAGAGTGTGCTTAAAACATCATACCTCTGTAATTCTGCCACTCAGTGAACTCTTTAAATCCACAGCTCTAGAGATGAATCCAGACACTTCATCTATTCGACTGAGCTCCGCAGCCTAGTCGAGAAGAGGAAAGATCAGCCAGCGAGTGCGTATACAATCATAGGACGGGGATGAAAGTAAAGCAAAATGAATACCTACCACGAAACTCGAGGTCAATTTTGAGAACATTATGTGAATTTCCGCGTTAAATTCAGACCAAAATTCGCTGCGGCTAACACAGACACAAACTTTGGGAAAGGCCCCGCAACGTGAAGAACAGGTAGCCTTGAATCCATAATACCAATCTGTAATAGTGAAGTGATTTTTCATCACAGAGGAGGAAACACATTACCTGAAGTGTGACGACGTAGATACACCAGGTCACCGACATCCAAGTTCAAATAGAGACTGTTGTTGTCAGATGAACTTTGGATCACTGTTTATCGAAATGAGTGACGTATTCAAGGTAACGTACCAAGTGCCCACTTGCATTCACCGGTAAATGGCTCCCAAATCATTGTAGGTTAATCAAAGCAAGAAGATTAGGCGAAGAGTAAATACAGCACCGGTGAAGAGGCGATACGGTAACGGAGGACTAGCACAAGGAGTCGTCCATGTCAACGAGCACTTTCGTTTCCGAACTGGCTGTTTCTCGAGCTGAAATAATGTGCAATAAAAGCCATAGAAAACGGATCCTTAAAAAATCAATTTTCCAACACTAACAAAAGTTATTCGCAGGGGGAGCGAGGATTCATGGTCAGAAACCGCAGTACATA